ATCCTTTTATACTCTTAAAAATTATTGAGGACTCCAGAGCATTTGTTTATGTGGGTTATAACTTTCGATATTTGTTGCATTAGAAATTGAAACAGAAATTTTGAAAATGTTTGTTAATTAATTTAAAAAATAATAGTACATCCACTAAGTGTTAAAATAGGTGAAATATTTTTGTTAACAAACTGTATTTTCCAAAACAATTTAATGAGAAGAATAGCACTTTTTACAGTTTTTGCAAATCTCTTTAATATCTGGTTTGATAGAAGACAGCTGGATTCTTATATCTGCTTTTTAAAAAAAATGTTTTTATTGATTTTTAGAGAGAGAGAAAGGGAGAGGGATAGAGAGATAGAAACATCGATGAGAGAGAAACATCTTTGATCAGGGCTGCCTCCTGCAAGTCCCCCACTGGGGATCGAGCCCACAACCCAGGCATGTGCCCTCGGCCGGAATCGAACCTGGGGCCCTTCAGTCCGAGGCTGACGCTCTATCCACTGAGCCAAGCTGGTCAGGGCAATAAAATTAATTTTGTTTGTATCCTCACATGACATTTTTTCTATTGCTTTTCAGAGAGAGTGGAAGGGAGGAAAGAAAAGGAGGGGGGGTGAGAGGGGGAGATAGAAAGAGAGAGAGGAAGAGAGAGAGAAAGAGAGAGAGAGAGAGAGACAGACAGACAGACAGACAGACAGAGACACACTGTTTGCCTCCTGAATATGCCCTGACATGGGCCAGGGAGCTAACCAGCAACCCAGGTACTTGCCATTGACCGGGAATTGACACTCTAACTAATGAGACACACTGACTAGAGCTAAAATTAATAATTTTTACTTTTATATCAATACATTCTTAAATAAAATTGGCTCTTTTTAAAAAATAAAAAAAAACAACTGTGAGTATACAAAGGTGAAAAATGTAGTGATTACTACTACAGTGTGGTGCCATTGCCTTATATTGTGCTAAGGTGCCCTACCTTTAACTTACCTTTGCTTTTGCATCATAAATGCAGATATAAGCACTGTGAAAAAAGGCAAATAATGTCTTGGTTACTATGAAAATAGTTTTGACCTCATGGATTTCTGGAAAAAGTATCAGTGGGGACCTCCAGGGTTCTGTGGTTCACTTTGAGAATGTTGTAAGCTGTTTAAGAGTTAAACTAATTATCCAGATCGATCGTCCCTGCCCTCCCTCCCCCTGCAGTTTCTGGTCCAGGATTTTACACAGAAAAGTTGTTGAAAGGATATTTGTTTAATGAGTGTGATATGATGACATTTAAACAGGACAAAACTTGCTGAGTAGAATAATAGGCAGTCTCACAGCCATCCAGGCAGTCCTGATTACACAGCTTTGCCACAGACAATTGTGGAAGAGAATGAACTAGTGGAGTGTCCAACATACTTGTTAACACTACGGTGTCGGGTGAATTTCCCGCCAAAATATAAGATGGCGCGGGCAATTATTTAGGTTTCCCGCACAAAATCAGAGTTAGTTTAAAATGCCTATATCTTTTGAAGTATGGGTTCGATTGAAATGAAATTTTCGGTTTCTTGTGTAAAAAATGAAAATTTATTCAATCACAGACATTTTTTTATCTATTCAGTACATAAATAATTCGATATATATAAACTAAATACAAAAAACCCAAAAAATACTTATTACCTAAAAATATACACATATTTTTAAAGTTTAAAATAAAATTTTCATAATAAATCAAAACAAATAGAAATTAATAGTTTTTTAGCGTATGATATTTTTCAAAACACGCCCCTTTATGTAGAGGTATATTGCAAAATTTGCACATGTAGCGTGTCTCACTGCGCAATTTATGAACGGAACATACGCGACACCTTCTCAAAATGTTTTTCTTTTTTCCACTTCCGACAATTGCCTGTAACGTATGCTTTCTCATGTCCATCGATAGCCTGCATGGTGGATCAGATGTAGGTGGTTTAGCCCGCATTCCAGAAGTAGACGGTACTGGTTGAAGGTCTGGAACAATGTCCATGTCCTCTGGAATATCATCCGTCAACCAGTGGATAGCTGTTTGTTTCAAAAACATTTTAAAACCCATTTTTCTTTGCCTCACTGATTTGTAAACTGCATAAGAATTAAATAATGCGCAATTTATCATATACATTGCCAACCTTTTTGTCCATTTGACCGTCCTCCGCAATATCGAATAATATGAAAGGTATTGGTCGGCCCGGTCAACACCTTTCAAATGTTTATTGTAGTCAATGAGTGCATTCGGTTTGACAATTTTCTTTTTTGATGTTCTGTCAATATTCTGACTTTCTTCCATCTCCGCAGAATGAATCGAAGAAATCAGGTATACAGGCTTTTTTGATTGCCACACTTGTAACAATATATCATTTTTTCTTATAAATTTTGTTTCACCTTTTTTCAAAGAAATTGTTTGAAAATCTTTAGGTATACCTCGATTTTTCCGGATTGTTCCACATATTCTGAATTTGTTTTTCATAAGTGCTTCACAATTTGCGACGCTATTATTATAATTGTCCATATATATATGGTACCACGAATCAGTGTATGGAGACACTACTGTTTGTATCGTTTCCAATAATCGCTTTCCTTCGCCGCAATACATTTCCATGTTACAGATATATCCTGTATCACTTTCGCACAACAAACGAACCAATATTCCATATTTAACGATCTTGCCAGCATTATATACCCTAAAGAATAATCTTCCCCTCCAAGGTACGATCCCTTCATCTAGTGATAATTGCTGATGAGGTTTGTAAATATTTATAAATTTAGGCACAAAATAATCTAGTACTGGTCTCACTTTGCAAAGTCTATCTGATTCATTTACGATATCCGCATTATTATTGAAGTGCCAAGCTTTCCATATCTGTCGGAACCTGTCTCTCGTCATCGTTTTACCAAAATATGGCGTCTCCGTCCATGGCTCCGTGGTCCAATAGTCATCTCTTCTATCTTTGCGCACCTGTCCCATGAGAACAATTAACCCTAAAAACTTCTTCATCTCTTGAGGGGTTATATCTTTCCACTTTAGGCTTTTTTTTGAAAGTTTGAAATTATTCCTATTTTGATTATAATACCTGTTTGACTCCTCTACAAGAAATTCAAAAAAATCATCTCCGATAAATAATTTCACGGCATCTTCTATATTATTTATAACAGCATCTGTGTTTAATCCTTGATGCCCTAAAAAATCTTCTAAGACCGGTGGATTATCAACATGCGACCATTCTTCTCTCCCGCCTTCTATATCTGACTCTGAGTCAGAGCTGGAGCTCGAAATTCTTCGTCGCCTCAATGTCCTGGGACGCACCATTACTTCATCATCACTAGAATCTTCATCACTTGTACTCACATTTTCAAGATCGCTATCACAAGAATAATTGGACAACTTGTCTGCACAAAACTCATCATCACTATAGTCTGAATGCTGCGACATTCTAGGTTAAAGCAAATAAAAATAATACTAACTGAAAATAGCGGTACTCCGATAGATATCTGATATAAAAAAATAATTATTATGCGAACACTTTGCGGAACGATTTTATTTTATTTGGTTAAAAAATTCTATATGAATGTCTTTATCACAATATATTTAAATATTTAAACACGTAATAATATTCACAAAACTCAAAACTAAAGATGTCCGGACACAAGAAGTATTTCTCAATAACTATTCTCTTTGCATGGTGAGATATCCAGGGATATCGGTTATAAAATGAGAAAACAATACATTGGTACCCTAACGGTATTGTACTCGACCAGCGCCATAAAGTGTTCTCTACTTACAAGGGATTTTTATGATACCTATTACCCCAATGGGTATGAAACGGTTCGCATACGCAGGTAGGTATCTTTGTGAACGGCAAACAAACAAATATTTGGTAATACGCAGTTACAATCGGCCCGAGTTTACACGTTTCCCGCACTCCACCGCAAATCTATATGAACCGAGTTAAGACGGCTCCCGCGGAGTACGCGCAATTCACGCGAGCCGACTTAACTCGTTTCCTGCAATCCAAGTGGTAAGATCAGCTTGTAGAATGAATTTGTGAGTATACAGAAACATGTAAGAGGACATGGTAAACTCTTAACATTGATTCTCTAATGGAGGAAGTTCTGGAGAGAGAGAAACTTTTTAAAATGTATCTCTGCATTTTTTACCTTGTTACAATGAACATGCATTATGATTTTTTTAAAATATATTTTGATTTTTTTACAGAGAGGAAGGGAGAGAGTTAGAAACATCGATCAGCTGCCTCCTGCACACCTCCCGCTGGGGATGTGCCCGCAACCAAGGTACATGCCCTTGACCGGAATCGAACTTGGGATCTTTCAGTCCGCAGGCCGACGCTCTATCCACTGAGCCAAACCGGTCACAGCAATGCATTATGATTTTTTTATGCATGGTTTTTTAATGCATGTTGCAGTCAAGGTGCATTTTTCTCTCTCTCCCCTCCTCCCCTTTCTCTCTATAAAAATTAGTAAATTAAAAAAAAAAAAAGGAAAGAAAAAGAGGTTACTAAACCAAGGTCTTTATCTTACCAAGTGGGTAAAGGAGTTTGGGTGTTTGCCTCCGCCAGAGAGTTCCATCTTCATGGGAGATCACATCATGGGGCTTATGCTTATAAAGCTCATTGTAGAAAGACATTTTATCCAAGAAACTATATACCTGCCAACATGCAGGAAAAAAAACAAACAGCCACACATTTAGCTAGGGCACATGTAAGGGGTTCCACATCTGCCCTTCTGCTCTTCCAGCCAGACTGTGTATGTGGAGACTCTCAAACTTCGTACAAACCCACCACTATAACTCTCCTGGAACTGCCTCTGCACTCCTTGCCAAATCTTCACCATTCTTTCATCTTCAACTCAAGGTCCCTTCCTCCCTCCCCCCTCCACAGATAGTTGCCTCACCTGAGCAGTATGGTCTGTACTACTCAAATGACATTTACTATACATCACCTGGCTTTATTAGCTATTTATTTCTTATTCTACTCTTCTCTTCCAATTGATATTAAGGAACTTTATATTTTGTCTTATTCCTACAGTACCTACTGTAAGGTACTTAATGAAAACATTTTTATTTAATTTTATAGAACTGAGGCACTATCTTAGGTATTTTCATTCAACTTCAGACTAATACTTGCCATGGCAATGGGATTTCGATGTGGAAAGCAGAAAGGATTCCCCAAAACCATCTCCCACTGTCTTTAGGCATCTAACTGAACAGCCTACCTTTTTGGCAGTAGATTTCCCTGATACGAGGGCCCGTAGCAATTGTAGGAGTGGGGAGAGGAGATGGGGAAACATTCCACATACACTGTCCAGAATGATCCCAAGACCAGAGGTTGGCTCCTATGGTGAAAGGGGAGAAATCACTGAACTTAACATTATGTACAAATTACCCTCTCTCTCTAGTAATGTAAAACTTCCATATTTCCACTAAAAAAGGCTATCAACAATTGACTCGGTTAGGACCTGAAAAGAGACTACTACTGCCTCCAGTGACCTCTTCTGGCCATCTTCTCTTGAGAAAGACAACATTGTTCACCTTTGCATGACAAGTTTCCACTAAAGTGAAAAACACCCAACTATTTGTCAGCATTTAGCCACCATATACATGCAACAGAGCCTCAATATAAATATTATTTCTCCAAGGAACACTGTGATTCTGTAAGACTTAAATGTCATATCAGGAAAAAAAGAACAAAATATACAAGGAGACTAGTCAGGCCAAAAAATAAATACAAATTTATTCATCAGCTGGACCTTGAGACTTGAGGCTGTTGCCAATGCTAAGACTAAGTACTGGTACCCAGCATGTGTGGCTCAGTGGTTGAGGGTTGACCTATGAACCAGGAGGTCACAGTTTGAGTTCCGGTCAGGGCACATGCCCAGGTTCCAGGATCAATCCCCAGTAAGGGATGTGCAGGCAATCGATGTTTTGCTCACATCAATGTTTCTCTCTCTCTCTTCCCCCCTCTCTCTAAAAATCAATAAAATATCTTTAAAAAAGAAAAAAGATTACAGCAATCAGAGCATTTGAGATCTTGTTCCTTGGCATGTCTTCAGTTTGACTCAAATAAACTCATAATAATTCTCCAAAAAAAGTTACAGCAATACTGGTGCCTGCGACTCCCAATGTGAAAAAAGACTTAGTAGGCAGGATAGACAGCACACTGGTTAATAATGTAGACACAGACTCAGTCAGACAGAACTTGACCCGATCCTGGATGTCTAACTGGTTGACCTTGGACAAGTCACCTCACATCCCTGAGCATCACCTTTCCTCATATGCAAAACGGAGATAATACCGTCTACTTCATAGGTTTTTGTAAAGATTAAATAAGAAAATGGACATAAATGCTTAGTATAACACCTTTCACAAAGTGCTTAATAAATTCTTTTGTTACAGAGAGTATCATAGCATGACTCCCAATGACATACTTACTGTTCCCCAGAATAGTTCTGGAAGAGAAGGGTCTGCCAAGACTTCACATGCTGTGTCAATTATATCCTGTTGGGATAAGGGAGAGAAAATGGCTTGTTTTCCCTAGGTGAACCAGTCTATCTTTTTTTTTTTTACTATATTCTGTTGAAATAAAAATACCAATGAGCCCGACTGGCATGGCTCAGTGGTTGAGCATCAACTATAAACCATGAGTTTACGGTTCAATTCCCGGTCAGGGCACATGTCTGGATTGTGGGCTTCATCCCCAGTGGGGGACGTGCAGGTGGCAGCCGATCAATGATTCTCTCTCATCATTGATGTTTCTGTCTCTCTCTCCCTTCTTCTCTGAAATCAATAAAAACATATTTTAGTCCTAGCCAGTTTTGCTCAGTGGATAGATCATCACCTGTGGACCAAAGGGTCCCAGGTTCAATTCCGGTCAAGGGCATGTACCTAGATTTCAGGCTTCTCCCTGGCCTAGGCCCTGGTCAGGGCCCCTGCAGGAGGCAACCAATCAATGTGTTTCTCCCAGCCCTGACCAGTTTGGATCAGTGGATAGAGAGTCGGCCTGCGAACTGAAGGGTCCTGGGTTTGGTTTGATTCCAGTCAGGGGCATGTACCTTGGCTGCGGACACATCCCTAGTAGGGGGTGTGCAGGAGGCAGCTGATCGATGTTTCTCTCTTATTGATGTTTCTAACTAACTCTCTATCCCTCTCCCTTCCTCTCTGTAAAAAATCAATAAAATATATTTTTTTAAAAATCAATGTGTTTCTCTCACATTAATATTTCTGTCTTTCCCTCTCTCTTCCATTCTAAAATCAATGGAAAAATATCCTCAGGTTAGGACTTAAATATCTACACTAATAAAAAACAAACGTGCAAATTGATCATACCTTCGCTACGCCTTAAGCCACGCTCACCAGCCAATCAGAGCGACTACATGCAAATTAACCCAACCAGGATGGCGGCCGGCAGCCACAGAGCTGGAGCAACCAGGAGGCTTGGTTGCCCCAATGATGGAAGAAGCCAAGCTTCCCGCTTGCCACGGCCGGCTCTGAGCTCCACTCAAAGCAACAAAGTTTCAATTATAGAAGTTAAACAAACCCCAGATACCTGCTTTCAGCTGGCCATGGCCACGGAGCTGGAGCAAGCAGGAGGCTTCCCTCCCTCCCGCCCGCCCTGGCCGGCTCTGAGCTCCTCTCAAGGCTACAAAGTTTCAATTATAGAAGGTAAATAAATCCCAGAATAAAAAGAAAAAAAAGAAAAAAAGGAGAGGCTGGGAGCTTTCGTCGCCGGGAGGCTTGGCCAGCCTGAAAACGGCCCTCAGCCCCTCACCCAGACTGGCCAGGCACCCCAGTGGGGACCCCCCACCCTAAAGGGGGTGTGGCCAGCCTGAAAACAGCCATCAGCCCCTCACCCAGGCTGACCAAACCTCCATGGGGTGAGGGTCCCCACTGGGGGGGACTTGACCAGCCTGCAAACAGCCATCAGCCCCTCACCCAGGCTGGCCAGGCACCCCAGTGGGGACCCCCACCCTGAAGGAGGCGTGACCAGCCTGCAAACACCCATCAGCCCCTCACCTAGGCTGGCCAGGCACCCCGGCGGGACCCCCACCCTGATCCGGGACACCCTTCAGGGCAAACCAGCCAGCCCCCACCCATGCACCAGGCC